GAGTTAAGCAATCTCTGACTGAGTTGCAATATAATAAACAAGAAATTCCTAAATTGTACAATTCAATAAGACGTTCAATCAGTAACTGTCGTGAATGTCCAAATATTTTACAAATAAACATGTTGTTTTCAGGAATAAAAAAGTTAGGAAGGTAAAGATTATACACACATGACAATAAAAACTTAAAGCACAACCAAAATCCCGACAACAGACTTGTTGGATTCCAGTCTGTGATATTATTTCTTTGAATGACCCAAAATAAAACCGTTTTCATAAAATATGAACAAAGGAGAGGTTGTCCATTTGTATCTTCAACTATAAGAACCTCTTTGAGAAAACATTTTAACAATCCATAGCACATGAATTGTGTGTGATTCATACAGTATACAAGTTTCTGTTCAGCTAGAGAGAATGAAATTCTCCATTCGCAATCTTCCCTTGGCGATCCTTTAAATCCTACTGGTACAACATGACAACCTAAGTTTATCATATCTCTTAAAACATCATTCGGTGGCCATCTTTGAGACTGGCATCTCAAGGTAAAAGAAGCTGCGATGAACGGCCAGTGATTACATCTAAAACAATGCGCAACATCATAGTGAAAACCACTATCACTTGCACTTGCACAAGGTCCATGTTGAGTAGAGCCTCGAAAAGCAAAAGATAATGTCCTTTTTCTGTATTTTGAACTGGATATATATAATCTATCATTTATTCTAAAACATGATTGTCTTAAATTAATACAGTTAGTAGGAGTCAGTAGCTGTAACATAGTAAATCCAGGATGCATATCCGAACATTCCATTAAAATCAAAGTACATCTTTCCGTACTGTACTTATCAGCCTGATTTAAATCCAAAATAACATGATGATCAGTCAGCCAGTACATAGAGTCAAAATCAGATGCCATCTGACCAAATCCCTCTCTACTGCTTCCACTACGATAGAATTTAAATTTTAAATTTTCTGCTCTTGGTCTTCTCACAATTTCATTAATATCAATAACTTCTCGTCGTATAGAGACTAGTGTTGGTGTGCCTACTTTTCGACACATTCCTACGTAAACAGCTTCTGATAGCCTGGGTATCTGATCCATTGTGGGTTTTAAAAAAAAGGTAGAATGGTATAAACCGTACATTTTTTCATCCTATCATTTTCCTTTAAAGAGCTTAAATTAGTAAAATGAAAGAACAATTAGGAATCCCTGAGCACTATTTATCTCTCATTCGCTTTTGTAATTAAGACATAATTAAGACATTGGTAGACATCTTGTATAGCTCTTCCTAAAGTAGAATCGACAATAATTAAATTTTTTTTTGATCGATTTAACATGAGAATTTTTTTGTTTGTATGGATGTTGATAAAGCCTCCCATGCCAATAAAATAAAATGTAAATAGAATAAACTTTAACTGATCATTGTCTTAAAAATGATATACCAGTTGCATTGTAAATATATTTTCCATGGACTCAGCCGTAAGTTTGTGCATAGACGATATTGATTTTTGGTGTGTATAGATCAATAACAAAAAATATATCCCATTTCATCTTTCCCCTTCCTTTTTACATCCAGAAAAATAATGTATAAAAACTTAGGTCACTCTTAAGCTATTATTATTTAAACTAAATGAAAATATTCTTTACAGCCTAACTATTCAATTACAAAAGAAAAAAAGATCTCAACCTTACCTATTACAATAACTACACGTTGGAATACAACAAATATTGTTAATCCCTAAAACACATGCTTTTTATTTGAAAGTCGTGCATATACGGAATTTGTCTTGAGGAGTTGTCTATTTATCATTAATTTTTGTAACTAAAACAGGAAAATTTTATTAGCCAATGGTATATATCAACTTCAATGGGGGTTGACCTTGTAATTTTTAATTAATTGTTTAATCAACATGACAAAATGATAGATAATTTCCTTGTAACAATATGATTTTTCATCTTATCTAAGTCCTCAAACTGAGTTGACTTTATTTATTGAAAAAGTATTTAAGAGAATAATAATAATAAATATAAATACATACCATATACAGTGGTGGATCTAGAGGAGGGTTACGGGGGTTTCAACCCCCCTTTTGGATTCGCCAATGAGAGAGAGAGAGAGAGTCCCTAATATTTGTCGTGTTTAGTAACAAATAATACGAGGGTCGTTCAATAAATTATTCAAAAGATCATTTAACAATAAGAAAACTACGTAAAATAAATTCTTAATATTTTCAATCCCTCAAAGTATCCCCTGTTACCCTTAACACATATCATAAGTCTTTGTACCCATGACCAGAAAACTTCAGCATACTCATCTTTAGGGATGTCCAAAAAGACACTGATGTTTAGCACTTCCCACAGCATATCTGAAATTGATTGTTTCCATGGGTTTTGGAATAAAAAGATCTTACAATGGCTGAGATCTAGAATGTGGTATATGGCAAAGCTCTGTAAACTTTCCTTTCTTCAATATTTCCTTAAATTTTCTATGCTAATTTGCATAAGCATTATCAGGTACAAGAAAATTACCCTGAGAACCGGTAAGTGGACTTCCTTTGCAGGAAATCTGCTTAACTTTCCTTAATGGAATTTTAAATTATACCATTGATGTTAATATAATATAAGCATCGGTGTATTTACAGACAACTTGACTTATTATGATTATCTTTAATATTATTTTAGTTATGGGTATATCCCGTGTAGATAGAGTGATGGATCTATGTGTGTTTTTTTGTCACTTGACATGATCATATAAATAGCACTTGTACGTACTTGAAAAGTCACTCTACCGCTCGTAGAACGTAGGATTATTTAGGGAATGGCAACCAGTAAATTATATATATGTACAAGTAATTTTTCATTATCAAATGATAAATGAAAGTAATAAATATTGTGTTCTGATGTTGAAATATTAAACGTTCTAATAAGCAGCATTCAATATACATGAGTTATTATCATCTTTTCATACCTCTTTATAAATACATTTTAAAGGGTATAATAATAATTCATATTCAGACGAACTTCGAAAGGTAGGATATAACTATATTTCTTTTGAAAACAGGTAGAGGTGGATGATATTACATTTAATGGTAAATTATTCTTTAAATACACCTTCAAAATTTTAAAAATAGAATTGCATGATGCTATTGCTAAAGGAAGAAGAACACTTAGAATAGGAATCATGTAAACTAAGGAAATCAAAAATATCCTGGAAATATTCAGGGCTCATCTTTAAAAGAAGTTGTACAATAAATTATACTTATAGAAGTATCTGATTTGCACTCCTTGCTTTTGATGACTGACTGGGGGGTGCTTACTGGCGTGAAAAAAATCTTTTTTATCCCAATGTTGATATTAAATTCATTACCGCATGGAAGTTTTTTTTAGTTTTTAATGCAAAACCTTTCTTAATTTTATGGGAACTAAAATAACTTGTATGTTTAGAATTTACATGAAGTAGGGGGATGCAATTCTCCCCCATATTTTTAATAAAGCAGAATTCTATCACTTATAGTGTGTACATAAACAAAATAAATACTTTTTAGGCTTTAAGAGCCCTCTATACACTGCACACTAAAGAATTCTGATTTTGTGGTATTTTTATGCAGAAAGAGTGATCTGCCCTAAATTGATCAAGAAGAAAATAAACTGCAATGTACAGTTTATTACTTAATTTTTTATCAAATCAAGCATTCATAACACTTCAATAGGCCAAGAGGAATAGATAGAACATTTCATTTGCAGGTATTTTGTCCACTTAAGGTTTTGCCAAAGGTCAAGATGTCCAAAAATTTATGTTTTTAATAGCTCCAAAACTATGTGAGGTATAAAGTTAAAACTTTTACAGTTTATAAATATATCATTGATTAACAGATGGAAAGTATCATTTGAAAACAAATATTTAAAAAAAATATATTTTTTGAGGAAAAAAATTTCAAAAAATTTGCATATTAAAAAAAAATGCACCTGCTTAATTCTGTACTTTTAGTGAAAACCATCATTGCCGAAATTATATATGTTTATCAATAAAGGGCAAGTTGGACATGAATGGTCTCTGAAAGGCTCTTATTGAAAGCATGACATGTATAAAGACAAGACCCCTATAAAATCCGCCATTTGCAATGTACTTTCGGTTTCAAATCTTAACATTTGGACAAAATAAACAGGGAAAACAACTTTCCAGAGGCTATCGAAGTCCAACTTGCCCTTCATTGATAAACATATATTGTTTCTGCAATAATGGCTTTCACTAAAAGTACGGAATTAATTAGGTGTATTTTTTAAAAACATATGCATGCATTTTTTTTAAAAGAATTTTTCTCGATAAATATTATTTTAAGTATTTGTTATCAAGTGATACTTTATATCTGTTAATCATTGATATATTTATAAACCGTAAAAGTTTTAACTTTATAAACCACATAGTTCTGGAGCTATTGTAAAAATAAATTTTTGGACATGTTGACCTTTGGCAAAACCTTAAGTAAACAACAGTGATTTCTGTTCATCAGTACTTCATTGTCTTTGAACATTTTTCCTGGGGGTAAATACAAGGCACCCTATGTTGAAAATGTGATAGATAAGCTCAGTACTTCCACCTTTACACACTATAATATTCTCAATATCTAAAAAATATTTTCCTCTAGTGTATAGAGGGTCCTTAAGTCATTTTTTCAAGCACTTAAAAAATGAACAATGCTTTGCTCCCTCACGGAATGCAAATTTCAGAAATGAGCATTGCTTGTCTTTCAGCTTTTGATATATCAAGCATATATAACTGCATGTTTGACACTGTGTATTTGCTAGTCATGTAACAGCCCATTATACTTCATAGAAATATGCAGATACATACCCTCGGTACGTCACAAGTTGTAACAAGACCGGAAAAACTCTATACACGGAATGACTAATAGAAATAAACACGACTCTAACTTGGGATGGCGGAAGAAAGTAATTAAGACATAACTTGAACCAAACACGATTATACCTTTTTAAAATTAATGCAAAATATTACGATGCAAATTATAACTATTTTTTAAGCGTATACACACATATTTATACACATACATATTTGTAAATAGTTTGCAATTAAAGTTCGATAAATGAGTGTTGCAAGTTATGCGCAGAAATCCATGATCAGAATGAGAATAGCAATGAATCTTGATGTACATGTATCTGAATTGATTAAAAAACATATTACATCAAACATACTTCAGCAAGGTAAACATGACAACACATTTGTAAGAAAACAACTTGCATAAACATATTTGAATAAACATAATATGAATTTTACTTTATTCGTTAATCAAGTTAAGAAACATTTTATCCGATTGCTTGTCTACACTGAACATCTTGTATTCTAAGATACGTTGCTTCCTGTAAATTATGGTGTTGTTCTTCTTTAAGAGAGTTCTGATAAGACAAAAGTGCCCCCTGATAATCTCCACAGATCTCTTGACAGATCCCAAGAATCTGCCATGATATACCTCTTAAGATTGTCTTAATATGACGCCCCTCGTCAGAATGGAGGAGAGAATATAGTTCATCTAGAGCTTCTTGTTGTTTTTGTAGGTTACCACGATAACACAACACTAACAACATCAGTATCATGACATATGGGGGTACGTCAATAAAATTTCGTGCTGCCAAACTGAATTCAAATTCTAATTCTTTTATCATAATCATACGTAGGTCAATATCCACGGCTACAGCTTTCCTCATTCTCTCAATAAGTGGCAGCCCTCCCATCTCCTCATTATAACAATTTATATGTACTATACGATCATAAACGATATAAGGCTGTATAATCATCTCTTTTATGGTTCCGAGATATTTAATTGCATTCATATTATTACCGACTGAATGTAAAAGTAGAGCAAAATAAATCTTATCTGAAATAAATCCCATTTTTGCACTAATTTTTAGCATTTTCAAGCAAGCATTTATAATTCTTAATCTGCTTTTGTTGTTAATGTTGTTGGATGATTTGTATAAATGAAAAACCGTACATCTAAGGATTGTTGATATATATTTCCTGAGAGTAGCACGCTGTCTTGCATTTAGGTTAGGGGCATGTAAGTACTTGACTGTAGAACGCAGAGTCGTGAAACAATGTCCGGCATTCGAAAATGGCATCGCTAATATATCATTACTATCAAGTTCATCGAAAAGCTCACAATCGATGTTGATTTCAGGTATGATATCAGATTCGGTGGTACTTAATACATATTGCCTTTTACAAATTGCTCGAGTTAACATGTCTCTGATTGAGTGGCAATGTGATAAGCAAGCAATCCCTAGATTGTACATTTCCAAAAGCCGCTCATACAGTAACTGCTGTGGATGTCCAAATACTTTTGAAATGAATAAGTTGTTCTCAGTGATAAAAAAGTTTTGAAGATAGCCATGACACACACATGACAATAAAAACTTGAAACACGACCAAAACCCTGACAACAGACTTGATGGGCTCCAGTCTTTAACTGTATTATTTTGAATAACCCAGAATAGAATTGTTTTCATAAAATATGAACAAAGAAGGGGTTTTCCACTTGTATCTTCCACGGTTAGAACCTCTTTTAGAAATACTTTCAACAATCCATAGCACATGAACTGTGTGTGATTCATACAATGAATAAGTTTCTGTTCAGCTAGAGAGAATGAAATCCTCCACTCAAAATCTTCCTTTGGCGATCCTTTCAATCCTATTGGTACAACATGACAACCCAAGGTGATGATGTCGCCCAAAACATGATTTGGTGGCCACCTTTTAGACTGGCATCTAAGAGTGAAAGAAGTGGCAATGGAAGGCCATTGTTTACATGCAAAACAATGTGCAATATCATATTCCGTCTCACCATCCTTTCCACTTGCACAAGGTCCATGCTGAGTAGAGTTATGCCTAAATAAAGCCATCGTATTTTCTCTGTATAGTGCACTTGATATGTATAATCCATCACATATTCTAATACAAGATTGTCTTACAGAATCATTATTTGTGGGAGTCAGTAGCTGCAACATAGTATGTCCAGGGCTTTCTTTGGAGCACTCCATTAAAATCAAAGTACATTTTTCTGAGTGGTATTTATTTGCGTGATTTAATTCACATATAACATGATGGTCCGTCCTCCAGCGCATACAGTCCACATCTGATGCAACCGAACCAAACCCTTCTCTACGACTTCCACCGAGACGAATTCTCTCTCCCATACTTTCTTCTGTTGGTGTCCTTATAATCTCAGCAATATCAGGCACTTCTCTTCTTATGGCCACTAATGTAGGCGTTCCCACTATATCACACATGGCCACGTAAACAACATCTGAAATCCTGTCTATTTGATCCATTCTGGGTAAAAAAATAATTTTTCAGTAATACATTTTTCACCATCTGAACCAAAGGCTCAAAAAAGCTTTCCTAATCGAAGTTACTCTGTCGTCCTTCTGTTTAAAACTTTATATACATTTTTGACTTCTCCAGAACTACTGGGTCAATTTAAACCTAACTTGGCACACAGTATCCTTGTGAAAAGGAAATTATTGTTTGTTCAAAGAAGGCCTATTCCTCCTTCCAAAGGTAAGTAACCATGAAAAGTACCACCACTGAACAAAAAAAAAGATAAAACTTAAATAAATTCTTCCTGACGGGTGTAGAATCCACGGCCCCATATGGCAAAGTGGGGCCACAAAAAGGGATGAAAAATTAGAGTGAATAGGAAAAAATTCTTTAAATACATACGGTCTTCTCAAGAAAAGCTGTGCCAAGATTGGTCATATTAATATGCAGGAATCCTCAGGTAGTGCAGATTTAAGTTATAAGTTCATTTTGCCGACTTTATGCCAACGTTATTAAACTATTGAAATCAAAAGTTTTAAATTAATCATTTTTTTAACATTTAATGATTTAATTAAAAGAGAAATTAAAGATCTCAAACTTACTGTAACAATGGCTGTTTCCTATCCAGTAAATTTGACGTGTCTATCGTAGAAAGTACATGATAACGGAAATAGAAAGCATTTTCTTTTCGCATGAATCATTCTCAAGGGCAATTTGCAATCTACTTAAAATCACATCCTTTACGCTCTCGTATTTTGTTATGCCGCTAACAAAATACGGGAGCGTAAGGGATCTCATTTTATTAAGATTCTCTTGTTGGATCCATTTTTTTCCCTTTTTTTGCGAAGAGGAGGTGTAATGAATTTCATGAACTTCTGTATGGCTTGGGCATTACCCTCTCTCTGAGTTTAATAATGAAAGATTGACTTATACGAACGAAACCAATCTAAATTACTGTTCTTCAGACATTTTTGTTTTGACCCTTCTTGCACTTTAATAATTATTTAATGACAAAAACGAGAGGGTGTACATCCCTACCCCCTTGTCAAGATTAAGAGTTAAAAAATGTTAATACATAAAGAAAGGTCTCGTCAAAAGGATTTACACATGTTTGTGAAATATAATAGCCATAGTATCAACAATTCAGAAAATATGGCCAAGTTTTAAAGTTATTCAAAAAGAAGGTCATACTCCAAGGTCAATTTCATGAGATCAAAAAATAATGGTACCAAAGGAAAGGTCTTGTCACAAGGAATGCATAAGCGAAATATGAAAGCCCTAGCAACAACCGTTCGAAAGTTATAGGCAAGATTAAAGTTTTTTTTTTCAAATGTAGTCAAACTCTAAGATCAAGGCCATGAGGTTAAAAATGTTGGTACCCAAAAAATATCACCTGTGAGAATACACTTGTGAAAAATGAAAGCCCTAGCACTAACTACTCAGAAGTTAAGTTATGGCCAAGGTTAAAGTTTTTTTTTTTTAGTAAGTCAAACTCCGAGGTCAAAAGTATTTGTACCCAAGAAAAGGTCTTATCACAAGGAATATATATGGTGAATATGAAAGTCCTAGCACCAACCGTTCTAAAGTAATGACCAAGGTTAATATTTGGTAAATTTTTGCAAAAGTAAAGTGGGTCTAACTAAAGGTCAAGGCCGAAAAGTCAAATATGTTGGTACCCAAAGAAAGTTCTTGTCACAAGGAATACACCTGTGAAATATGAAAGTCATAGCTCCAATCAGTCGAAAATTTTTCCGGACAAACAGATAAACAGACGGACGGGCAGGGCAAAAACCATATACCCCCGAATCTTCGATTACGCGGGCATAAAAAAAGCAGTCCTTATTAAAATATCCTTAATAAATAGGTATCATACAAAATCAAGACATGCATAGTATGCATCGCGACATCTTGGCATGTTCTCTGTCACAATTTATGCACAGTTACGATTATTTACAATCAACAAATTTATGATGTGCAGAATTCAGTTACATTCGAGCATTTAGCTTTTCATCGGCTAGAAAAAGACCATTTAGTTTTTATTGCTTAACGCCGAGTCGGCAGTATTTAAGCCATATAAATGCAAGCGGTACCAGATAGCCTCATTCTGTAAAACTTAAAAACATGAAATGAAGATGAACGCTTTTTATCATATAATCTTGTCTTGGATACAAGAAACTGTTTTGTTATACACACGAAATAAGACTGTTATTGCCATATCCCCAGTGCAAAAAATCTGCAAGGCTCTAAAATGAAATCTGCCGTATTTATATATAAATTTTTAACACAAACTAAGGACATACGCAACGTAGTTTTGAACTTTATTTTCTTATTCCCTGTATTATTTTAGAGTTCCAATAATTGAAGGATCTTTGTACTTTGTGTGCGATTTTATGATGCCTGGTAACCTACTTTTCTCTTTTAAAAAAATATAAGGATTTTCATCATATAATATCTGTTCAAAACTCCTGGTAATGTATGCTGGGTTTTTGAGTAAGAATATCTGTTGATACTATGAATTTAAAATAATAATATCTCGGAAAATCATCAGTGGGAAAGGTAAATTGCAAAGTACATGCACGTTGCGTATGACCTTAAACTGGTGGGATTGTAACCTCATAATGACAGATTTTAATCCCACTTAGAATTTATTCTAACTTAAGCTTTCAAGTAGCGTTTGTTTTCATCATATAATATCTGTTCAAAACTCCTGGTAATGTATGCTGGGTTTTTGAGTAAGAATATCTGTTGATACTATGAATTTAAAATAATAATATCTCGGAAAATCATCAGTGGGAAAGGTAAATTGCAAAGTACATGCACGTTGCGTATGACCTTAAACTGGTGGGATTGTAACCTCATAATGACAGATTTTAATCCCACTTAGAATTTATTCTAACTTAAGCTTTCAAGTAGCGTTTGTTTACTGTAGAATTGTTATATATGCTGTACTATTCCTAAATCTGCATTAAAATTTACAAAAGTTTTGTTCTATAGAAAAACCAGAAGTCTCTGACGAGACTGTAGCTCTACTGGTTTGTACTTAAAAGTAGCACTTGGACTTGAAACTTTGCAACAGCAATACATAGAATAATGATCCTTGGTGTAGTCTCTTTTTGTTTTATTGAGATTTTTGTATTATTAAGATTTATTGCAATCAGACTAAATCTGTAGGAGGAGTAGCCTTTTAAAAGAATTTTACAGAAATTTCAATTTTAGTAACCATAACAACATTTAACAAAGTCAAAAAACAATAAAGACAATTTTGTATCATAGTGTAGTCTACTTGTGTGCCAAGTTATACTGAAATCAGATCAAAACTTTAGGAGGAGTAGCATTTTGAAAGTATTTCAAGGAAATTTCTTCTATTTTTAGTAACCATGGCAACATCGTTCATAGAAATCAAAAACCGACGGAATTATGTATCTTAGTATAATCTACTTGTGTGCCAAGTTATACTGAAATCAGACCAAAACTGTAGGAGGAGTAGGGTTTTAAAAGTACTTCCCAGAAATCTCTATTTTTAGTTACCATGGCAACACCGTTCATCGGAATCAAAAACCGATACACAGAATTATGTATCTTAGTGTAGTCTACTTGTGTGCCATGTTATACTGAAATCAGACTAAAACTGTAGGAGGAGTAGCGTTTTGAAAAATTGTTTACAGACGGACAGACAGACAGACGGACGGACACCATACTATCACATAAGCTCTTCTAGTCTCTGACCAGTAGAGCTAAAAATTAGTTACAAGTTTAAAGCTACATGTTTTATTTATTTTCTCATTGGTGTGTCTAAATGCCATTATCTGATTGGTCCAAAGGATAAGCACCTTATTTATTGTGCGTATTTATAGCCATTTACAGTCATCGTTCTAAACTTACATACATGTATATGGAAATTGTCCAGACCTGTTAAGTGAACTCAAATATTTATGTAAATATATATTGTGCATTCGTATACACAGGGCATAAGAATATTACATGATGTCTCTTTTGAATCACTTCGTCTTTATTTGGTCTGCATCACATCCTTACCAAACTTACTCTGTTCTTTTGAAAGTTTTATATGGTCTGTATGATAAGGCTAAGGAAAGTCCAACTTAGATTCTTAAACACCAGAATACAGCCTGGATTCTGTGATTATGGATATTGCCAATCATAGGCTTATTAAGCATTTTTTTGTTTTGTCATATAAAGGCCCCTTCAAACTGCAAAGTTGTTTTTATATGAAACGGACTTCCATTCTTTTATGCAAACACAGAACCTGACATTAAACTGCAATACTTTTCAGTAAAAAGCAAAAAAAAAAAAAAATAAATAAAAAAAATCAATTTTATCTTTTTCTTTCATTTATTTAGGACGGAATATAAAATAAATAGGATTTTTTTTTATAAATAAATATTCTTGCAGATTAAGTAAAAGCTTGTAGAACATGTGATCTTGGTTCAAGACCAATTCATTCACATTCAAATGAGTTACCATCTTTACATCCACTGTAGATGTAATTTCGAATATAATTCACAGATACGTACATGTATATTAATCATGTGCACATACACTGCACATGTCATGTATCTGTAAAAATATTACTTTCTATTTTTCTGTAATTCTTAATACACGTTTCTGCAAATGTTTCTGGAAAACAAAATATGAAAATGTGTCCATCTAACATTCATTGCCTACAATACATTTCACTAAGAGAAATTCAGAAGTGAAGGAAATGAAAAAAAAAACTTGATTTTACAAAGATCAATACTATTCTCTATCTAGATTTCCTTGTCTAAACTGTTAGTAATGAAATAAATTAATGAAATAAATTAAACATCAATTGACATTATTTTAAAATACAGTAAAAAAAAATTACTAGATGCCAACACTGAAATATGATGCATTCTTCTGAGAATGATTGAATATTCACAAAAAATTTAAGGATAAAGGTTTTCTGTTGTTTCTTTAAATTCAAGATTTTGGTTGTCATATCATTTACATACAACAGAATAAATTCATGGAATTTTGGCAGTGTCAAAAGAAATGTAGTGCAAAACCATACAATTTTTTTTTAGATTTATCTTTTAATATTTTTGTTAAACTATTTGTTGAAAAATATAATACAGAACCCTGAGTTTACATTCTAGCTACATGTAATTTGAAAAAGATCACTGTACTTGTATCAGTACTAGAATACTACAAAATATCATTCTGTGAAATTTCAGCAGTAGAAATTGATGGCACTTATAGTTTTATTATTATTCTTTTTTTTCTTTTTTTGGAAATTCTATGACAGTGAAATAAAACTTCATTTAACAGTGTAATAATTAAAAAAAAACGTGCATAAGCTGCCAGAATGATATTTACAAGAAATTTATGATATTTAAAAAATATTTAATCAGATCAGAATAAATGTACACATATTGGTTATAAATATTATATTGGCACAAAATGTTTTTTAAGATTATTCTGTACTATATGGTAAATAAATAACAAAGAAATTAAAAATTACATTCCATAAAATAAGACTCAAGCATTAAAATAAAATTACAGTATAAAAAAAAAAATACCAAGAACATTACAGCTACAACCTCTCTATGAATCTCAGGGAACTGTTGAGTCAATAAGACATAAACATA